ATGTAGACGAGGCTATATTCTGAAGCACTGTGTCTGAGATACACTTACAAGAGCCAAAATTCTTTTGTCGAAAATATCAACTCCTTTTCTAACCTTTCTTATCCCATTTGTCATTATTAAGGCAGAATTCTGACATTTCAAACCCTGCTTTGTGCAGTGAATTTTTTTTTCTCCAACCTGTAAGAATATTGAATGATGAATATGTTTGTACCTGAACAGAGTCAAAAATTCACTGCTCTTTTTTTAATTTTGTTTAAAATTCTTAATTTAAAAATAAATTGCAAAAAAAAATTTCTAATAATTAGGAAGCACACAGTCGGAACATCATCTGCTCGACCGTTGTAGTGTTGGAATGGAAAATAGCCTCACAGACAAACAAACATGTAAACAAATTCAGTTAAGAGGAAAGTAATCTTTGTTTTAGTAATTTTATTGTTTTATGACATCAACTGACCCTTTCTCCTGTGCAGGTTGACCTGTTCACCCAGATCGGGAATCCCTAACCGTCCAAAATACCAGGTGAACTTTCACGGAATTCCCGGTTTCCTTCGGGCCCCAGCTTGGCGTCGAGTTAAAATTAACTAACAGAGTAGATACACCAACAGAAAATAGGGATAAATATTCCCTGTTCACAAAATCATCGTTTTGCTCAACTGCTACTATAAACTTGAAGAGAAAACTCAATGAGAAGGACTCAATAAAAGAAACTCAATATATAACAAGCCAGATTGAAACGATTAAAGCACTATCTTTTGCACGGACATTTATTTTACATGATTTATACAAATACAAACTGAGGATCAACCGAAGTTAATCCTGGAATCATAGATGAGCTTAATTCTCCTCCTGGAGATACTGGAGATATTATCGACCGCTCTCCTCTACTACTTCATCAAGACTAACCCTCTTCTGGGAAACAAAGGTGGACGCCTAGTTGGCTTTCTCTGCCGACCAAATTACCGTTATCATGTTCCTCTAGATAAGGGTCACGAGGGTTCGAATCCCGTTACTCTGGAAAGTTTTCTATCCTCCTTGGTAACAGACCGAGTAACGGGTTAAAATCAATATTATTTGTTTGTCAGTTCTCACTTTATAAGCTTGGGTTGAATGAACTGGGGGAACAAACTTTCCATGTATGTACATTTCTGGATGGGTTTACACTACATTATAACTTTGACTTTTATAAACTGGATTGCAGTGAAACCATTTTTGCTGATAACTTTCAATTTTTATAAACTGGATTGCAGTGTAACCATTTTTGCTTATAACTTTCACTTTTTATAAACTGGATTGCAGTGTAACCATTTTTGCTGATAACTTTCCCTTTTTATAAACTGGATTGCAGTGTAACTATTTTTGCTGATAACTTTCACTTTTTATAAACTGGATTGTAGTGAAACAATTTTTGCTGATAACTTTCACTTTTTATAAACTGGATTGCAGTGTAAACATTTTTGCTTATAACTTTCACTTTTCATAAACTGGATTGCAGTGTAACCATTTTTGCTTATAACTTTCACTTTTTATAAACTGGATTGCAGTGTAACCATTTTTGCAAGCATCATGACAACTCCTCCCACATCGTTAAATTTAGAAGGGACACCCTAAACTAACGAGAGAGAAGCATTCGGTTGCTTTTATTTGAAATCAAACGTGCTTTCGTCTATAAATCAACAGTCTTTAGACTTACAGATTTGTTTATTTTATACATTCAAATGTATATGCCAACAAAAAAGTATTGTAGATAAAAGGCTATAAAATTATGTAAAAGGGGTCATATTGTGATCGAAAGTCACAGTTTTCTTAAATATTGACAGAACCGTTAAATCCACGTGAGGGACACCAAAGTCCTGGGCATATGTCAACAATCTTACAATAAAAGTTTCTATAAAGGTATTTCTGTTTATTATCTCACAAATAAAGGACTATATCATAGAAACAACAAAGAAAAACTGTCAGAATTCAACACTTTTTAAGTTAAAAAATTGTAAATTGTAAATTAAGAAAAACTGTCAGAATTCAACACTTTTTAAGTTAAAAACAAAATATCTTACAATAAAAGTATCTGTTTATTATCTTATAAATAAAGGACTATATCATGGAAACAACAAACAAAAACTGTCAGAGTTCAACACTATTTAAGTTAAAAAAAAACCAAAATATCTTCTTCATTTTAAGGATATTTCTATGAATAGAAAATGCATTCTTGAATTGGTGGCCGGTTACTTGAAATTATATATACAGTCCCTTTAATATCAAACATCTAGAAATAAAAAACTATCACTGAAAAAGAGACAGGGAGGGAGGGGGTGACTTATTATTACATGTAAAACATCTTGTTAACTACAGTTATCACAAAAATATTTAAAACATATATATTTACAGTTTTAACATTTACTTCAACAACAAAGAATAAACCAACGTTGCTAGATTGTTATTTTAAAATTAGAAGAATAAGAATAAACCAACGTGGCTAGATTGTTATTTTAAAATTAGAAGAATAAGAATAAACCAACGTGGCTAGATTGTTATTATAAAATTAGAAGAATAAAAATAAATATTATAACTACAAGGTTGCCTACAAAGAATAAGACTATAATGACGACCTTTAACTTGTCTTAAAGGGACTGTAAAGGAAAAAAAGAGTGTATAGACTGAAACCTGAGAATCTTAGTTGAACGATATCTATAAGACATCTAGTCCGTATTACGTCACCAGAACTTCAGCCAATGGCAGTGCAGTATACTGGTCATGTGATTTCAGTCTGTATCACGTTACAATGGTACTGCACTGCCATTGGCTAAAGTTCTGGTGACATAATACGGACCATATGTAATTATATTATCAATTATATCTCTTAAAAATGCTAAATAAAAATTAAAAAAATATAATAGGAGAAAACCTGAGATTCTCAGGCTCCTGTGGGATATCATCTTTTCCAGAATGGTTGCGTATTTGTTGAATATGATCTGTTTAAAATACTACAACTTTTATACAAAATTGCATATATATGAATTTTCGTATAAATTTGACGCAGTTTTATATCAAGTTCTTGAGACAGAAACATCAGATAGATGTTTTATATGTATCGTTCAACGCCTGAGATTCTCAGGTTTCATCCTATATCCCCCTTGATTTTTCCTTTACAGTCCCTTTAAGGTTAAATTTGACTTTCTGATTTTCTTCATAATAAATCTCTTCGTTCATATATATTCAGGGGCGGATACAAGGGGGGGGGGACATTCGCCCCCCCTGAATTTGGAATTTTTTTTGTTCCTATTTTCAGAATAGCTTCTCAGTAGTATGCTTAAGGGAAAGAAACCCTAGTGCAAAACAGGAAAAATATTTGTCTTAATAAACTATAATGTGTGAAAAGTTAAAAATCTAGTTTTTTATTCAAATTTTTTTTTCCAAATTATGAATTTTTTTGTTCCTAAAAAATCTTGCCCCCCACCTCACTTAAATCCCGTATCCGCCCCTGTATATATTTGTTTGTATATATATATGTTAGCTATAGCTGGCTAAACGGCTGGGCCAAATGGGCTGAATTTTTTTAAATTTTTCTTTTAAAATTCAATAAGAAGACATCAATAAATTCTTACACGGTGAAGTTTTTATCATCTGTGGATATCCCTGTAGCTGATTTAATATAATTAATATCATAATCTTTAATAACCCAACAAACTAATTAAATTTAAAAATCTGTCCGAGCAATAACTTTAGAGTTGAAATCTAGTTAATTTTTTAAATGATATGATTAATTCTGTAAACCTAGAAATCAGCAACAAATTTTGGAAATTGTCATGGGTTTGTCTTGGGTAAAAATAAAAGCTTGATATTGCACTTAATTCTCTAATTGTTACCTTTAGCTGATTGCAGATTTGATCAATCATGCAAATTATGTCAAATTTTGAACCAACTCACTAATTCATCTAGAAATTTAAGTTTGAGGTTGTGTTTTAAAGGGACTGTAATCAGACTTTTAAGTGACCTCACATTTAAAGAGGTAAAGTGTACCATTATAAATAAGGCATGTCAATCTTTAACTAGGTGGTCACTTGAAATTACGTATACAGTCCCTTTAAGAACCTTGTTTTACTATTGTCCTCCTTTTGTCACTGTAGTGGAGTGTTTATAGTATAGAGGGCGCAATATTCAATTCTACAAATTATAGGTGGCGCTGTTTTAATTCACTTGAACTGGTATAGAGGGCATTGCAATTGGTTGAAAAACATTAAAGGTGGCGGTGTTTTGATTCACTTGAATTGGTATAGGGGGCGCTGAAATTGGTTGAATCACGGTATAGGTGGCGTCGAAATTGGTTGAATCATGGTATAGGGGACGCTGTAATTGGTTGAATTATGGTATAGGGGGCGCTGAAGCGGGTAATGATTGATATTTCTTGCTTCCTACTCGAAATGCCGTTTGTCTTCGTCCCACGGGAAATTTTCCCGGAAGTCCAAAACAGGTTTTGGGTATAACCATCCTAAACAAAAACAAAATACTATCATTAAAATTGGGTAATTTCTGACCTTAGGGGTTGAGTCGAGGCCCTAACTCAACTTTTGGCCCGAAACCTCGGTTGATGCTCGGCCCCTAGCCCATCCTAACGCTCGGCCCAGATTAATGTTACATTTTATTAATCTGATTTCTTACAATCCAAGTTGGTTTCTATTCCATATTCTTAGGTACCCACAGCGATAACCAGGCTTTTTTCAAACTCGAAGTTTTCAAAATTCTATTCGTCATGCAAATGACATATACGTGAATGGGCAATATTTATATTTTAGATTTAATTCACTGTGAAAATAACTTAATTTATATAATTAACACTGTTAAGGCAAGGAATATCATTGTGTACGATCCTTCCATCTTTTTTTCTGAAACAAGAAACCTGTTACTTAGGAAAATTTAATCAACTTAAAAAAAAAGATTCTCTAGAAAGTTACTTCAACAAATACCTCTTTATAAATTATAAAATATTAAAAAGATGATTAAAATGGAATTAGAGCAACAACATCACTGGTCTTGATTAGGAAAAGGTTAGTATCACTGCCAGGGGTGTGTACACTGTACAGGGGAGCTTTAAGGGCTACCCCCAGCCCCCTCTCCTCTGAACAAGTTAACTATATTTTTCAGGGGGGATTCAGCCCTTTATTGGTACTGAGTCTCCCCCCCTCCTGGAATGTTAAAAAGGTATTTGGCCACCCCCTGGACAGTTCCTGTATACGCCCCTGCACTATATAGTTGTTTGAATAATTTTAACGATTTCAACGATTTAAAAACTGCCATTTTAAAACTTTAAAACTTTCCCCAACTCCGTTAACTAAGTCCTAAAACAGAGGGCTTAAGGCGTATATCTTAATTATAAAATGAATATGCAGGGAATGGTAGGATAGAAGAAAGGAAGGTAAGAGGAGACGCCATATCCTTACCCCAATTCTCCAGTGTAAAAGAAAGCCCAAGTAATATTTAAGAAAACGAAGAACCTGAACCCTAAGAAATCCAACCAGAATATGAGAGATATCCTACAATACCTATCCTAGATTAACCTGAGCTTAAAACAAAGAGCACATCTATAGAATAATGAAGCTTAAAATGTCTGAAGATGATCAATATATTTATTATTTAATCTAAAAGAGACAAAAATTACAATCTGTTCAAAATAATGGAAAAACAGAAATTTTAATGAAATAGATGCTTGAAAAAGGAACCCTGAGCAGTACACATTATGGATTTATAATACAAAGGAAAAATTAACTTAACTTCAAATTAATTTTTATTCCTGAACCAAAAGAGAAACTAATCTTGTTCTTTTGAAACCAATTTGTGTCTTTTGTCAATGATAACGTGACTAAAATGATATCATTGCTGCAAACTCCAATAAACCTTCATGATCCATAGTTAAGATAAAACCAAATGTTTGAGTCTGAAAAATAATTATTTCCAGTAAATTATCCGTATAGAGACCCAAACCACATGTAATGTTACTTCTTTTCTCTCTTTGTTAATTCTCCAAGAAATGAACACTGAGAAATGAAAATTGTCAATGAATGAAAAATAAAAATTATACATTGTACAACATGTTACAAAACATGTTGTATTGTATATATAATACACTCTATATAATGATACATGGTTATTGGTTACCCACAAAGGATGGAACTTTAAAATTGTACATTGTACAACATGTTACAAAATTTGTTATGTATTGTATATATAATACACTCTAAATAATGATACATGGTTATTGGTTACCCACAAAGGATGGAACTTTAAAATTGTACATTGTACAACATGTTACAAAACATGTTATGTATTGTATATATAATACGCTCTAAATAATGAACTTGGTATAAAGTAAGCATCATGTTAAGTTAAATTAGCTGTACACAATGTACAGGTGTATACAAACTACCATAAATTAAGTATATTCTAACCATTTTAATTTTATTTCAGGCCTGAATCCGACAGCTCCGAGGATAAATCTGAGGACAACCTCAATGATAATTAAATAGACTCCAACTAACCCGAAATAGAGTAAATCTGGGGTTATTATATGAGACGTCAAAAGTGATTTAGAGAGCTATGAATACAATCCAGTGAATAAACTCAAGTATAGAATAATGTTGTGACGTCATATCCCTGGGGTCATTAAAATGTACCTAGTTTTTATATTTCCACCAATCAGAGCAAATTTTAGATCATTATCCCAATTAGGTGTATAGAATTATCCCAATTAAAAAGTACCTAGTTCTTTCTTTCCACCAATCAGATTTCATGCAAAGCAATTATATCAACTATCCCCTACTCCCCTTAGGACTATTTAAAGGGTTCCCTGTACCCCCCTAGTCCAATCAGATTTCATGAAAAGCAATTATATTAATTATCCCCTACTCATCCTAGGACTATATAAAGGGTTCCCTGTACCCCCCTAGTCCAATTAGATTTCATGAAAAGCAATTATATCAATTATCCACTACTCTCCCTAGGACTATATAAAGGGTTCCCTGTACCCCCCTAGTCCAGTCAGTGGTGAGAAATTTTCCTCGAGAATTGTCATTTCGAGTGTGAGATATCCCCCATCTAAGTTTTTATTTATTCATTTTTCCCCTTTTTCCCCTATTAAGTAATTTTAAGGCTCTATTTACGCTACTGTTATATTGTTGATACTTTTTACCCAGGGGGGATTTATATTCATGTCTATGTATCTTTAGCTTATAAGTTTTCGTTTAAAGTATGATAATAAATCTAGTTTAGATTATAAGTTTGTTGGAGGTTTCCCTCTTTAGTATAGATAACAGATTAGATTGTAGAATAATTTCAGTTAATTGTGTTGCAAAGCTAAAACTTATAGAATAGTAGATTTAAATACATACGAGTATTTTAGTTTGAATTCATACAAGTGTGCTTTAAGGCTAAAATTCACAATAAATTTAAGAGTTTTCATGTAGATATAAAAATTGTCACAAAATGATAATTTTTCTAAATTTTTCTTTCATTTTTTCGGTAAACATCATATATATATATATATTTTATCATCTGGTGAATAACTGACATTGGACTTTCATCGATACCAAAAATTAATATTCGAATTTCCCAATTGGAGAAAAATTATAAATTTTCAGAAAAAAAACATTCCAAATATTTAATTTTTCTCAAATGTCCACACTTGTCCACATTGAATTCTGATGGGAAAGTATTTTGAATATTTACAGGAATGCCCGCAAAAAAAAATTTGCCCCCAAGCAGCACGTTTTTGAGAAATTGAATCTCAAAGTTTCAAAGTTTGGGATTTTTTCTAAACACTTTTTAAAGAAAATTATGTTGAGATAGTGGGGAAACACTTCAGAATTTAACAAAGAACCTGTAAAATCTTTCCCTGGAATATTTAGTAAGATGAAAATTTCCCTGTATGATTCTTGAAGGACTGCAGTTTGGTTTTGGTGAACTATATTGACGTACTAAGCTTAAGGGTGTCAGAAATATTTTTTTTGCATTTTTTTGAAAACGTCCCATAAAACCTAAAAACGTTTAATTTTGATAAAGCTTTTTGTTCTGGGTGATTGCATTTATTTATAGAAAACTTTCTTAAACCGACATGTTTTTTCTAAATTCACTTTGTTCAGAGTTTAAGTCAAAATAATTATTGCTTTATATCGATGTGAAACCTTTCAGAAAGTAGGAAAAATTTTGCAAAAAAAAATTTGCCAAACCAAACAGAATTTTTATTTTGAACAAAAATATTTAGAACTTATATAGAAGCTTTTCTGGGTTGCACTTTACTCTAGTTTTGCATTATTTTCATTTGTGTATAACAGTATAAAAGAGGTTCCGTTGATGGTTTAAAACTAAACAGCTGATGATTCATTGGAGGGAGGAATGGCAAGAACACCAATTTGTAAATCCCAAATCTTTTTATGAAAAGTGATTGTAACAGGGTATACAGAGTACTTCAGGGTACAGGGTACTGCAATGTACTGCAAAGTACTGGGCTTTACTGGGGTATATTTGCAAAAAGTGTGCAAAATTATTTTCTGACTTATAGGGTTGGGTTACTGATTCAATTTTAATATATTTTGAGCTAAAAAAGGTTTAAATCCATTTAGAAAAATTAATTTGAGTGAGGAACTGTGCGACGCGCTATAAAGTTTTTGGACTTAAATTTTCTCTATATCTTGAAGGTTCTCGCCTTTTCAGCTCATTTTTTGTCCCTCGCTAAAGCTTGGGACAAAATTAATAGAAAGGCTTGAACCTTCTCTGTCCCACAACTTTATAACACTACGAACCAAAATAACAGTGTTATAAATAGTTATTTCTAAATTTGTTATTTCTAATAATCTTATCTACTTAAAGGGAGTGACCGGCTATGTAAGGTAGTTGAACTGAGTATGCAGTGTTGTGGAAAACTTC